TTGTTTTTGTTATTGTTAAGTGTAGGCTGGCAGGAGCTCCAGTCTTTGCTCCTATAGATGACTTGATGATCACGTTGCACAATTACGTTACATAAAGTGCTACCAAATGTACTCTGTCAAATTGCACATTTTTATTTGTGGAGAGGGTAAAGTCTACACATTGGTCGGAAACCAAGAGAAGCTGTGATACTGGGTCACTGCACACTAAAACAACAGACTTCTTTCCGGTCTTATCACGTTCTGGCCTATGCTTCCGCTGCTTTGGCTGCATTTACATACAAGTTAAACTGTAATCAGAGCAAATATCGCCATTCAACCAGAGGCCGAGATTTCAAAGCTTATCTCTGGAAATTGACAGTCTGTGAGGGAAGATGGTGTTACTGCCTGTTATGGCACTTTGACAACTTGCTCCCTCATCTCCCACCACAAGCAAATTTCATATTTTCCTAAAATTAAACAGTAATTGTAGTAGGCAAACATTTCAACATCTGACTCCCCTTTGCCAGCCTGCAACCTCTGCAAACATTTGCATCCAGAATTTGCCAATATTTATTTATTCATCATTCCTTCTATCGTGTTCAGCCCTGAGGTGGAGGATTTCACCACCATGCGCATGAGCAGCTATCGTGGTGTTCAGGTTTTTTTTTTTTTTTTTTTATCGCAACATTTCACTGATGATTGTGGCCAAAGAGCTCAGCTTGTACGTCATCTGTGGGAGCACTGCTTTCCAAGCGCACTCTGGCGGATCCAGACGCTGCTTTGTGAACTTCCGATATTTGCTTTTGTTTTTGACGACATTTCACTGAAACCTCTTTGACATCTGCTCACAGATTTCTAGATCCTCAGTCAGTTGCTGATTTGACAAATCAGATCGTCAGCTGATGGTGGCTGTTGGCTCACAGTCTGAACCAGTAAAGCCCAGTTAGCAGTAGGAGTTATTGAAAATCTCAGACTTTTTAAGTAGAAGATGAGTAGTGCACTTGTTGCACTTTTTTTCATTGTTTTTTTCTGGCAACAGTAAATTCATATTTGTGGTTTAATATATTTATTTGAGTTTTGTCGCAATACAAGTGTATATATACATGATATACACAAACAGTGTTGAGTGAAAAAGATCCACCCATCACAGTAAATTCATATTTGAAGAAAGATTCATTTACAGTTTTTCTCAGTCGCTTTGGTTCATTTCTCAGATCAGAATTAAAATTCTCCAAACTACTTGTTCAATCTTCACATCATTGTGTCACTTGTGCACATCAAAAAGCAGTTTTTCGTTTCTTTGAACAAGTTCTAAATGCTTTGGTACATCCATGCAAATGATTATGTACAATTCTCTGTTGTTTCCTACATTATCAATTTCTTTTGTCATGTTGATCAAAATGTATGATAATGGGTCTCTGTTCAATAGTCTCACCCCCACAACATTTAGGCATTAGTTCATCGCATAAGTCTTTACATGCAAAATGATTGAACAAGTTGTCATAATATGTTGAGCATATTTATATACATTTCCATTAGACTTTGTTTTAATCTGTCCTGAATTAGTAAGTTGCTCTGAGGTGAATCTTAACTTTCTCTAATGAAGGGAAATGTGTGTTGCATTACATAGATCAACCAATGATCAACCAGTTTTCTGAAATAGCTCAAAGGTGCATCTTATGAACCATCAACTGGCAAGTATAGAGGAAGACTGCACTGTAATTCCTACAGAACTGCATGTACAGTTTTCCCTAAGGAGATAGTCCAATGTTCACATTTCTACTTTTGTTTTTTCTTTGTGCTATGCAGTGCTGTCTTTTCCTTTCTGTGTCACAATGACATGGTCTGTCAACAAATTACAGTACAAACAGTAAAAGCGTAAATGTCAGTCTCTTCCAATCAATTTCCCACACACACTAAGGTGTAATTCACAATTTACAATAATTGTCATCAAAACTTTAGCCATAGTTTACATCAGAACATCCCTCCAGAGTACACTGTTATATTGACAACATGACTAAGCAATTTGACTGTCTTATCTGTACACATTGACACAAGGACTTGTCATTCTGACGGCACTGGCATGTTCATTGACACAGATATTTAGTTTTGAGAGATGAACTAAGGATTTTGAGCAAGTAACTGCCTTTTGCAGGTAATCCATGCTGTTTTGCTATTCGTATGAATTGTTTTGAGAAATGCACTTACTGTTTTGCAAATGTCGAGGATGATTCGAGAAATGTACCAAAGCGACTGAGAAAAACTGTAATTAGGTCAGGTCTGTTTAAAATGTCTGTCACTAGATGGCAGCCTTGAATACAAAAGTACTCTTCAGGGCATGTGGGGAACAGCAGGATTGAAGGAAGGACAGTGAGGACGACACTAAAACGACTATGTGTCCTTAGGGTGTCTGTCTCTGTGTCATTCCAGCTGCAGATTACAGTCTGTGGCCAACCACACAGATGTTTTCACTCATCTTGCCTGATTTGACTCCATGTACAGTCTGCTTGATTGACACCTTCCTCACTCTCCTTTTGCACCTGTAACAGACCACCTTACACCAATGTTAAATGATTTCAAATTGTATAACCTCTCAATAATTGCAGTTAAACAGTAAAATATTTGTTTATATGTAAAATTAAAACCTAACAGTTTAAAAATACAGGCCCTGCATGTTCTTTGGGAAATTCTTATATTGCTGTTTTGTCCTGAAGAGCAAGCAAGGGTGTTTTTCTTGGAAAATGTCCATAGAGGTGGACATTATGAACCGTCCTTCACACAGCTTCACAGAAACTCTGAGTCCCATTGATAACCCTTGTGCCAAGTCTGAATCACTTGCCAGTATGTTTTTGGGAACTAGATTGAGCAATCTGTGGCATCATTTGTGACTCTTATTACTGGTGCTATGGCTCGTTCTATACACAATACTGCTGCAACTGTGTTTCAAATTACTTTTAGTTGGTCACTGATCCTTCTGCATCCTTTTTCATCATTGTGAAGTGTCACCATCTGACTTTTCAGTTATTCTAGAAATTCTTTTAGATATGGAGCAAAGATGACATGCAGATAGACACAGCCAAAATTAAGAAAGTTCTGGTGTTCACAGGTCATTTCTGTGTTAGTGCTGCTGGGCTAGTTGGAAATCACAGCTGTACTCTGATTAGTTTCAGTGATCATAGACGTGTTGAGTTTTGTTAAGTTTCTGCTTTGGGGCCTGTATTTTAAATATAGTCAAAGAAAGACAAATCACACATGCTATTAAAATGCTAACATTTCCTTGAATTTTCCATTTTTTCGTCTGAGAAGCTGTATCTCCTCAGGAGTCTAAAAATGGCATGAAACAATCTAAAGAGTGAGCAGCTCTTCAGCGCTCACAGCCATGTACAGGTTGTGATGAAGGACTGGGAACCACCATGTGACACTAAAGTGATGGCTGTGTGGCTTTTTCCTCCTGTTGAGTCATAAATCTTAAAATCTAGTTAACTAATTGTAAGTTTTTAAACACTGTGCAACCATGCTCCAGTATTACGACTCACTACATACTGTATACTGTTCAACCAAGCTGCTGTCCTGTGGAAGTGTTAGTGTGTACTGTACAGTAGATTAGAAAAAATACCTCATTTGGACGATTCAGTGTTTTTTGAAAGCATTTCTCTGATTAAAGCAGTTATTCATCGACAGTTGGTAAAATCCCTGCACTAACCGACATTTTACTGCACTGCATGAAGAATGCAGCTCTGACAGGACACAAACACTGCCACAGAGCTGTTTGTGCAGATTTGTTTACTTGGTTACAGGCTGTGCAGCCCGGTTGATGAAATGCACCTCGCACAGCAGACTGCTGCAGCGTGGGTTGACCTGCTGACATTTGAGAGGCATGGCTGCCTTGTAATGTTGATGCTGCTGTTTGAGTCAGAGCTGTTTGTTGGCTCAACGAAACTTCAGCACT